AGATTGAAGCAGTGAAACTAGATTGCATGGCAAATGGGAAATCATACAAATAGAATGTGGAATAGAGAGAATGATTGATAAGGGAATGAGAGGTTTACTATCGAATATCAACACAGTATGAACTGTCAGAATCCCAGCCACTAACCACTGGGATAAAAGGGCTTGTTTGTGTAGCGGGTGAGTGCGCCCATAACCCCCCAGGCCGCCGTGCCTGTAACCCTTCCCTAGGATCAATCGGGGATCACCAGTGGACCTCTGACACCCCCCCGCACTGGGATGCCCGAGGTGCACACACCGGGATTCGAACCCGAGACCTTCGCTCTGATACCATGTCAGAATCCCAGCCACTAACCACTGGGATAAAAGGGCTTGTTTGTGTAGCGGGTGAGTGCGCCCATAACCCCCCAGGCCGCCGTGCCTGTAACCCTTCCCTAGGATCAATCGGGGATCACCAGTGGACCTCTGACATGAACCCATCGGCATGGGGGTCTGAATATTCAAAATATATACATCAGTTAGCGGCATACGTCAATAACCCTCTCGTCTCCAGTCCCTCCACTCAAGCAGGAACTAACAGGAACGTGAGTTGCATTGAGCCAATGGCATCAGGGATCGAGCCAGTGAGCTGGTTGTTTTGGAGACGCCTGTGGAGAAACACAAGCACAGGATGCACAGAGTAACGGGTACAAAACAGAAGTCATATGTTTGTGACACTGATACAACCTTAAGTCTTCTTGATTTTCCTCATGGTTGTCAAACATGTTGCGTTACATGATTCTGCATGTTAGAGTGTGCTAGTACCGATTGTTGTGTCCTGAGCTTGATTACAAAGGATACGTTTAATGCATTCGTATCCAAACAAACAACCATATTCACTCACAAGCTTTGCAGTTGAGTGAGCACACTGATGCTACTGGGGATGCTGTTCGAAAGCTGGTTGGATGAGAGGTCACTGGGATGGATGAACATGCAAGAGGTGATAGACCAGAATATTTAGATTTCAGAAAGATGAGGAACATAACCTAGGCTAAACACCCAGAAAATACTTAATGGGGTGATGATGACAGACGAGGAACCAAAATTTGACCACAAAAAAAAACGTCTATCATATTATGATCTAAAAACCGTATACATTGAGCAATGTACCCTATTTTAAGTCCTCCAGCAACAATATATGGCCCCTGCACAAACAATAAGATGGTTGCTACTGCACACAGGATACAGCCACGATGCTATCTTTGCATAAAGATGTCCCTCTCATGTCTGCAGTCGCCAAAAATCTGATCACAGCTGGGACTCAAGTTGTTTATTTTTAACCACAAGTGTAGCATACCACTCTGTAGACACTTTTGGCAAAAATCCATGGACGTCAGCTATCTGGAATATGAATCATCCCAGCTTATGAGGAACCGCGTTGATGCCAAGATGGTTATAACCATGTAGCACTGTTTGAAATTCATGGCATTCCCACAATAGCATGACAGCAGGCATGGTGATGTAATGAACACATGTTTATGCACAAGTAGAAGGTGTGGAACCTAGGGAGGAGAGACATGAATGGGAGTCGGGAGCTGGGGAAGCCAGGAAGGAATGAAAGATGATGCGAAGAGAAAGACGAGGAGGAGGGACCGAGAGGATGAACATACATTGTTTTTTAACGAAAGATGTTGAGAGGAAAGGAGGGGATAGTCAAAATGAATAGGTTTACCAGTCGATTAATGGCATGCAGAAACATGAGGAGCATTGGCAAACACTTTTAGTCGAGGCACTAGGGTTGTAAAAGAGCAACACTGATAATGCAGAAGACAATGTTGGAAGAAGACAAGAAACTGAACTAAACCAATGGATGGCCTTACAGGTACTGCAGAGATTTGCACGCGCTGATGCCTGAGGGGATTGTGCCACTTAACTGATTGTTATTTAGTTTCCTGTACAATGAGTTGATGTGAAAGAACAAGCAGAGAAAAAGGGTAAATATCATAGGAATAGGAAGGCAACTAAAATGGAGAGTCGTTTGTCAATATTTTGTACAGCCAAACGCTAGGGAGATAGACAAGGAACGCAACATGTGGAAAAGAGGACTTCTTTGTTTTTTTTAAAGTTGTGTCATTGGAAAGTAGGAAAGTAGGGAAGACACAAGGAGCTCGATAGGGAAGAGGAGGAGAGGGAAGGAAGGAAGCTCTAATCTTGGGCTGCAAAGAAGCAGTGTGACATTCGCATCTGGCTGCATGTGTGCCCGAACTTAGCATGCATGCACGTCCCAAGTCAGCATGTGTCCGTGTATGAACGGCAAATGCATGTATCTCTCACATTCCCCTTGCACGCGCCACATTCCCCTTGCACGCGCCACATTCCCCTTGCACGCGCCACATTCCCCTTGCACTAGGAATGAGGCAAAAGGGCGAACCTGAAACACGTTCATGTTCGCGTAGCCTCAAACGCTTGTGTTTGGCGAACCAAACATGTTTGTGTTCAGCCGAACACAACCCGGTGAAGGAGGTCTTCGGTGTTCGTCAAAAAGGGGTGTTGAATACGAACATGTTCGTGTTTGGCATGGCTCAGCTAGCCACGGGAAACCAAACACGAACATGATGGGCCAAAGATAAATAACTGTCCGGTTTTACTCGAAGAAGTTCACCCTTGTGCTCATGTCTTGCATCCACCACTTTACACTTGCACCCAGCACTAGGCCGATGGGTCAAACTTGCCCCTTCATCGAACCGATATTCACCCTTGTAATTGAACCTTAAAGTGGTCGAGCTGAACTGGTAGTGATTTGGTTCTACTGGGGAAGGGGAAACAAGAAGCTTCAGGGTTTGGTTCTATTCGACTCAGTTTGGAACTCATAGTCAAAACGAACCGAACGGTTTGACCCAAATATGTGCTTTGCTCAACTCTGCCCACCAGAGTCTAGATGTGTCTTTGAAATTTCAGCTCCACCAATAAGAAATCAATCTTCCATTCATTCAGTTCAATCTCACAAGTTTCCTAATTGAGCAAATGTGCTGAAGCTAGCAGGGATGCTGCCTGAGAGCTGGTTGTATGAAGCATCACTGAAAAGGGGTGAGAAGTAGTAGAGAAAGCAGTTGAGTTTGCAGCTTCTTGGATAGCAAATGGTGAAGGTGCTAAGCGGGTTTAAATGTAAGGGAGACACAAGTCGAGAAGACCAATGCATAAGGTGCACTCAAGTGAGACGCGCTCAAGGCACAGAAGAGAGACACCATTCAAGAGGAGCAAGCAGGGGGGCAAAACAGATCAGCTAGAGTTGCAATTACAAATCCTCTTTAATTCCTCGCCATGTTCGCAGATGGATAAAGCCACAGCCGTGCAGCATAAACACTTCCTTGCCATGACTGCTGTTGCCTGGAATCTGAGCCCAGCTGGGAATGACGACCTTGGCTTGAGATACCAGTGTAGCAGCGCGTTCCCTTGTCCGCCGGCAAAAACAGGGTTACTCAAAATAATTCTTTTACGCATTCATTGCATCCTACCTCATATCATCTATTTGATATATGTACCTTAAAAAAATGGTGGGGTAGTGAACTGACCATGTGATGAGAAACAATAAGAGCAGCTAAAGGAAAATACTGGTTTCGTACAAAAGGGCCGGACACAAGAGGAAGGGACAGGTAGAGGGTGGAGATCATAGCCAAGCAGAGGTCTTACAGGGATATTAGAGAGGCTAAAGTCTTAATTGCTTCAAGTGATCCATTGAACTGGTTATGAGAAAGACCTCTGAGTTGATGCACATAACACGCACAGCAGATTTGAAGATAGAGGCAAAGCCACACTGATTGATGAATTGCAAATCTTGCTACAATATCAAGACAACAAAAACATCAATTGCAAAATGCAATGCAACAAAAAGGACAACCTTGTCAAGCGCAATATTCAGGATGTTTGGAATTGTTTTCAGCATTATTTTTCTGATTATATAACGCTGAGAAGAAGCAAGGAGCCGGAATCTTGGGGTGCAAAGAAGCATTGTGACATTTGCATCCAGCTGCACGCATGTCCAAACTCAGCATGTGTGCACGCATGTCCAAACTCAGCATGCATACATGCTTGTCCGAATCAGCATACGTACATGTATGCCCGAAGTCACCATTCAGAACAAATGCACATATTTGACGCGGCTCGGCACTTGAACCAAAGGTTTTGTTTGTGTCGATACTTCTAAACATTTTACCAAACGTTAATAAGCAGAAATGCAGTTCAGTACTTTGCTCAACCCTACCCACTGCAGGCAAGATGTGCCTCGCATTCAAGCTCCACCCACAAGTGGGTGTCTTGCAAGGAGGAGGAAGAGGATGAGGACGAGGAGTAAGAGGGAGGATGAGGGGGATGAGGAGGAGGAGGAGGAGGAGGAGGAGGAGGAGGAGAGAGAAAATATGCACGGTCTGTATTTTGGAGAGCAAAGAAAAGAGGCATTTGATAAGTAAGGATACGGATGGCCATATCTTACAAAATCATCATCCCACGGAGCACACTGAAAGTAGAAGGGATGCTCCCTACGAGTTGGTTTGATGACAAGTCACTGTGATGGTTTGAAGCATGCGAAAGATAGAAACAAACACTGGAGCTTATTACGGTAATTTCACAACAACAAAAAAAGCCCCTCAACAATTGGGTATGTAAGAACAGCAACTTCACTGTAAAGTGAAAACCTTGAGACTAAAATGGTTAGATGATGAGATGATTTGTACATATAAATACCGCGCACAGAAGGAATTCAGCTACAAAGCAGCACGAAAAAAGTCAAGTGAACCATGGTTGTGAATTTGACTTCAAAAATATATCTCGATGCAATTCTAGTATTATGAGGGAAGGGAAAATACGTTGCGGGTGCTTGAACGGGTAGAAAATTTGGGCATCAGACTAGCAGGAGAAAATATGGAAAGGAAGGAAATCGGTATGAGAACCCAAGACCGTACAAGCTTCAAAGGGTAAAAGGAGGGACATGAGGAGGAGAGGAGGAAGACGACAAGGACGACGGGGAGATGGGGGAGGAGGAGGGGGAGGAGGAGGAGGAGGAGGAGGAGGAGGACGAGGAGGAGGAGGAGGAGGAGGAGGAGGAGGAGGAGGAGGAGGAGGAGGAGGAAGAGGAGGAGGAGGATGAATATGGGAGGAGGATGAGGGGAGAACGTAGACAGTTTCTACTGTGGAAGTCAAAGAAGAGAGACATTTAAAAATTAAGGAGACGAATGGCCATATCTTACAGATAATACATCTGACTGAGCCCACTTAAGGTAGAAGGGATGTTTCCTGAGAGCTGGTTGTATGACAAGTCACTGTGAGGAGGCGAAAACCGAGGTGGATTATTGAAAGGGTAGAGGATGAGGAAGAAGAGGATGAGGAAGAAGAGGATGAGGAAGAAGAGGATGAGGAAGACGAGGATGATGAAGAAGAGGATGAGGAAGAAGAGGATGAGGAGGATGAGGAGGAAGAGGAAGAGAAAGAGGAGGAGGAAGAGGAAGAGGAGGAAATATATACACATGGATGTACAATCACAAGAAACTAGACCAAAGAGGGGAGGCAAAACTGAGGTGGGTGGTTGTAACGTAAGGAATTATGCCTCGGTTTATTAGGAGACATCATCGAAAGAAGGGAAAGTGGTAGGAGAACAAAAACACATACACGCGTAAAAGTTTTGTAAGGGAGCTGAATGCTGCGCGGATTGATCCTGTGAGCTGATTGCGACCGAAATCCCTGAGATGATGAACACAAAATGTGATGCGAAGATTCAGAAAATCTTGACAAAATGTCCCCAAACACTTCAGAAACCAACTGACTTTTTTATTAAAGATCTTGGAGCCAGAATCTGGCTGAAAAAATCCACCTTGTATATATGAGTCATGCATCGAATGGAATGTACACAGTGCACATCACACATTGGCAAGACGATGGGCGCAAGACAGGGAGAGGACTTAAGATATAAGAGGTACGATGTGAGCAAGAGAGGAATGGAATGGTAACGAGAGGTCGGAAATTGAAGGATGTGTCGTGAAGCATGGGCGGACTTAAAAAGTTGGGCTAAAGCTCGACCCACGACCTTTGCCCATAAGGAAATGGGGAAATTAGAACAACAGAAAGCCTTCAACAGAGAGTGTAAGCACTTGCTACACATATGGGGCACCTGTTACTGTAAGGGAGATGACATGACAACGTTCTAAAAGGAGACCCAAGGTCGAACATCTAATAGTACAGCCATGACTTTACATGACTCGATTTGATTTGCAATTGCCTTTCAAAAGGAGCCTCTCCATCACGTGCAGTGCTAACGCGCAACCATTCACGATGCCTACATGCACAATGCCCCTCGGAAACCTGAATCTAGGGTTGATCAAAGTAAATATTTTAATCAAAAAGGTTCGAATCAAAACTGTACATGTTCGGCCAAACCATTCAGTTCAGTTAAACTGTAAGTGCCCCGCATCAAACCGATCCTACAACCAAAAACTGCCCATTTCCCCTGAAACCGATCTCCTGTAGTCAGACCGAACTGTCAAACATTGCATGTTTATATTGTCTAGGCTGTAGTGGGTTACACCTTAGGGGGTACACAAAGTTAGGGTTTCCTACTTGTACCAAACTCTGTTCTAGTTCATTCATTCCTGCTCAGTTATTTCTGACATGGTTTCAGAGCAGGTCCTTCGCTAGGACTGTTCTTAGGGCCCACCGACTTACCTACCTGCTTACCTTCGCTTGTTTCCGGCCCCGCTGGCCCCGTCGATCTAGCGTCGATCTAGCGGCCCTGCGGCCCCTTCGAATTTTTTTTTTTCCTAGCGGCCTCTCACGGCCCCCGTCGCGTCGCCCCTTAGCGCCCCGATCGGCCCCGTCACGCCGCCCGCGAACCGCACAGCGCGCCGCGCTCACAGCCCGCGAACCGCCCACGCACAGCCCGCGAACCGCCTGCGCAGCCCGCGACCAGCCCGCGCAGCCCGCGCACAGCCCGCGAACTGCCCGCGAGCAGCCCGCGACCTGCCCGCGAACCCCCGCGAGCCGCCCGCGACCCGCTTACGCAGCCCGCGAGCAGCCCGCGCAGCCCGCGCTGAGCCTGCGCGGCTCGTGCGCTGACCGCCGCCGGCCCGCACGCTGCCCGCGCGCATCTCACATACGGCCCGCACGGCCCGCACGGCCCGCGCGCTCCCGGCCCGCCACTGCTGAGCCCGCAGCCGCCCGCGCACCGCTGCTGCTGAGCCCGCCGCCGCCCGCGCACCGCCGCTGCTGCGCCCGCCGCCGCCCGCGTATCACCGCTGCTGAGCCCGCCCCTGCTGCGCCGGCTCTCGCTGCCGCCTGCTGCGCCTGTGCACCACTGCAGATCCTGCTACTACACTTCCTGCTACTGCTGCTTGTGCGCCACTACAGTCCGTAGGCCCCACCGGCCCCGCTGACCCTGCGCACGCCTTTTCAGTGACTTTACTGCTTCTACTACTGCCGCTGTCGCTATGGCTAGTCCTCCTGTTCTAGCTTTCGACGCCGAGGGCCGTCCGGTCAAATTCGAAACCTGGCTAGATGACCTGCACCTTTTCCTACAGCTCACTGCCAAGGAAGATATTACACTGTACGACCACGCTCTCGGCCATGCGACCGCCCCACTCGCTACTGCCCCCCCAGCTGAGCGCTCACAGTGGCAGACCCGTGACGCGCACGCTCGCTTTGCTATTCGCAACTCCCTGCCGCTAGATGAGCGCGAGCACTTCGGCCAGTGCAAGACTGCTAAGGACCTCTACACAGCTGTAGTGGCCCGCTACTCCTCACCCGCTTCTGCCACGCTAGGCCGCCTCACTCTCCCCTACCTGTTCCCCGACCTAGCCTCCTTTCACACTGTCGCAGACCTCATCACCCACCTTAAGACTAGTGAGGCTCGCTTTCGCGCTGCCATGCCTGACGAGTTCCTCGCTAGCAACCCCCCCCCGCTCTGGATCACTCTCTACCACGTTGTCACCCGCCTCCCTGACTCTCTGCGCCCTGTCAGGGACCAGTTCCTCTCTCGCTCCCCCACTGAGCTCACCGTAGACCTCCTCGAGAAGGAACTGCTTGCAGCCGAGGCTAGTATCGTCGCTGTAGGCACCTCTCGTGGCGACCCCCGCGGCCCCTTCTTCGAGGGGTGCTCCCCTTCCCCCCTCCTCCCCTCTGTCGCCTCTGCTGCTGCTGTCGACCTCCTTGGTGCTGAGAAGGTCGGGGCTGCGTCTGCTTCAGGCGGACGACGCAGGGGCAGGAGTGGCAGGAGTGGGGGTGGTGGCGGAGGAGGCGGGGGTGGAGGTGGTGGCGGTGGAGGTGCGACTGGAGAGGCTAGTGGCGGCAGTGGTGGAGGTGACAGCGGCGTTGGGAGTGGTGACAGGGGCGGAGGTGGCAGCGGAGGCGGAGGTGGTCGTGGCAGCGGCAGGGGTGGAGGTGGCCGGGGCGGAGGCGGAGGGGGTGGTGGTCGTGGAGGCCCGGGGGGCGGTCAGAGTCAGCAGCCTGCCCCGACCCTTCAGGCCGCCCGTGAGTGGTATGCGCGGCGCAGCGTCACCTGCCAGTACGTTATTCGTACAGGTGACCGCACTGGCCAGACGTGTGGGGGGCCGCACCAGACGGAGCGCTGCTTCGCCCGCCTCAACGATGCGTGGCGCACCCAGTTTCCTGGTGGGGGTGAGCTGCCGCGCTGGGCTGAGCTGCTCAGGAAGGGTGTTGATATTTGGGCACTAGACTTTGATGCTATTCTCACTGCCATGTATGCGATGTCTATTAGTGGAGAGGGTGCTCAGTACTTGCGTGTTCCGCCCGACCCGGGCATTCAGGCCAGTCCGGCTGCTGCTCTAGGTGCTAGTGTGTCTGCTTCCACAGGTACTACTGCAGCTGCTGCTCTAGGTGCTTGTGCGTCTGTGCCCCCTGGTACTGAGTCGACTGCAGCACTGCACACCTTCACACTGGACTCAGGTGCTTCTCGCTCTTTCTTTCGTGACCGCACTGTCCTTGAGCCTCTAGCTCGGCCGGTTGCTGTCTCTCTTGCTGACCCCTCTGGGGGTCCGGTCCTTGCGACCTCCTCCACCACCCTTCCGTGTCCAGCGGTTCCGTCCGGCACGCTCTCAGGTCTCTACCTCCCCTCGTTCTCCACGAACTTGGTGGCAGGTAGTGCGCTCCAGGACGGGGGTGTTCACCAGTTCACCCCTGCCTACGAGCGTGTGACTCACTGCACGTGTGCTCGGACGGGCCGCCACCTAGCTACTTTCACTCGAGAGCCGGGGTCTGACCTGTACACACTGACCACTGAGTCCCCTCAGGTAGCTGCGTCTGCGTCAGCGTCAGGTCAGCTGTCCGCCCCCTGCTCGTGTCGCTCTCTGGCGAACGACACCGTCCTCTGGCACCACCGCCTTGGTCACCCGTCTGTGCAGCGCCTGCGGGCCATGCACAAACGGGACCTTGTTGCTGGTCTTCCCAGGGTGCTCCCTCCCCTTCCTGACTCCCCTGCTCCTGACTGCATTCCCTGTGTCGAGGGGCGGCAGCGCGCCGCTCCTCACTCCTCCTCCTTTCCCCCGACGACCGCTCCCCTGCAGACGCTCCACATGGACGTGTGGGGCCCAGCCCGCGTCCGTGGTCAGGGTCAGGAGAGGTACTTCCTGATAGTTGTTGACGACTACTCGCGCTACACCACGGTCTTCCCCTTGCGCGCCAAGGGTGACGTCCCTGGTGTTTTGATCCCCTGGATCAGCCGAGCCCGTCTCCAGCTAGGCGAGCGCTTTCACTCGGACTTTCCTGTCCTGCGCTTGCACTCTGACAGAGGTGGTGAGTTTGCCTCCGACCTCTTGGCAGCCTACTGTGCTGAGCACGGCATTGAGCAGTCGTACACGCTTCCGGCCTCTCCACAGCAGAATGGGGTCGCTGAGCGCCGCATTGGCTTGGTCATGGAGGTCGCTCGTACCTCCCTGACCCATGCGGCTGCTCCCCACTTTCTGTGGCCGTTTGCGGTCCGGTACGCAGCGCATCAGCTCAACCTCTGGCCCCGTGTCTCCTTACCGGAGACTTCCCCGACTCTACGGTGGACGGGAGAGGTTGGCGATGCGTCGCGTTTCCGGGTCTGGGGATCTCGAGCTTTTGTCCGCGACACGTCCGCGGACAAGCTCTCGCGTCGCGCTGTTCCCTGTGTCTTTCTTGGCTTTGTTCCCGACGCGCCTGGATGGCAGTTTTACCACGTCACCTCGCGCCGGGTTCTGGCCTCTCAGGACGTCACTTTTGACGAGTCCGTCCCCTTCTACCGCCTCTTCCCCTACCGCACTGCCCCGCTCCCCCCCCCGCCTCTCTTCCTCGCTCCAGGTGCTGAGGTACCAGACCCCCTCCCCCCTCAGGGTGCCGCTCCCTCAGGTGTGTCCCAGGTAGACCCGGGTGAGCCTGTCGAGGTAGCTGTTGACTCGCGTCCTGCGTCTGGGGGTGCTGAGCCTGGGAGTGCTGCGTCTGAGGGTGCGGAGCCTGGGGGTGCTGAGCCTGGGGGTGCTGAGCCTGGAGGTGCGGAGCCTGGAGGTGCGGAGCCTGGAGGTGCGG